CTCTCTCTCCTCCCTCCCTCTCCCTCCCTCCCTCCTTTATTTTCTCCTTACATGTCCCCTGACAGAAACCCTGACTACACAGGTGGCTAGATGAGCCTCCCTGCAGTGCTTTATTCAACGAGATCAGTTTTGGAATTGAAAGTTGAGGGAGGGAGGGGAGGGCGGGGTGGCAGGTAGCCTGAGGCATCAGGTGTTCATGCAGGGAGAAAGAGGAGAAGTGGAACAGCAACAAGATGAATGAGCTCCATAGCACTGGATATGTGATAAGGGGAGCCCAGGACTGTGCTGGGTCTATGACAGTATGTGTACGTCAAGATCAGACATAAGAACAGCTGTAGGAGGGACATCAACTTGTATTAGTCATCTGGAACTGGATGGAAAGGAAGAAGACAATGCAGTTGGATAAGAAAAACATCCATTAGTTTCTCTTTGGATTTATGCATGAGGGTAAGAAATCATTCTTCAGTGTTTTTATTGAATTAAGATGTCTCCAAAATTATCTTATTTTGTGTTTTGTAATACTGATAATGGTCTTAATCATTTTATGTAAGAAAAACAACATAGTCCTGACATTATTATACTAACACCTTCAGCTATGTACACATGAAATGCAGACAAGGAAAATAGTTCAACATAATCTGAGTTGAACTGAGTTCATATTGTACCAGAACAGTAAATAAATCTGTCTTTGAGTTTGGTGTGCCGCCACACAAAGCTCAGGGTAAACATTTTCAGGCTGAATATGGGCTGTAATGTTGTCTGTAGCAACTCTTAATGGTTAATATGTGAGAGAACATTTCAGGATAATGGATGAATTTACATCCCACAAGGATACACCGAGGTTATATGTTACTTTTGGGGGGAAACTTAAGCAAACAATTATATCAACTAGCTTAAAAAAATAACACTTCCTGTTATATGTCCAATAGGATCTCAGGTTTGGAGGTTATATCAGGCAGCAGGAGAGAAAATAATGTCCCTTGAAATTCATTCGGCATTTCTACAATTGAACTTCTCCTCAAATGTCCCCCAACAGAACGGCTTCTGATGGCAGAAAGAAAGCTCTCTCACATGTCTCCATAATAGCCCCTTCATGGAGCCCAGACAAAGAGCAGAAATATTCCTTTTAGCTGTGTTTGAAGAGTAATGTTTGTATAATGCTCTGATGATAAGACTGAAACTAAAATGTAACTCTACAGTTCATAGGACAGAGACACGCATAGTAACTCAGGCCAACATGCCATAACCCAAAGCTGGACAAAATCCAAAAATGAATAATAAATGACACGCTGGACACCAAAAAACCCACCACTAAACTTAAGACTAGACTGGGATTGTCAAATGACTATCATAGTTATTCACCAGGTGTTCATTAAAACGCTGGTGTGTGATTTACAAACATGATCATGGACAAAAGCAGTGTAACTTCAGTTATTATCTCTAACAGAAAAGGAGAGAAAATGCCCCAAACACCTTATAGGATTGTCAACACACCCAGCTCCACAGACAGGAAGAAAAATGGAAAACTTGCACTGTTTGAATTCTGAATTTAAATTCTTTATCTCAGATTTCTTTCAAAATATCAACATGATCAGTTGGACAATTGTTGAAAAACTAAAATCCCATCCCTAGTAGTAATACAGAAAGTGATGATTTATGTATTGATCTAGTACACATGGGGGGGTCACTAATGTAGGTTTCTGCATAAAGATTTTCAATCTGTAATGTAATGGATGACTGCAAGCAAACAGGTGATTTATAGCCAATGTTGTGGAGCACTAGTACAGTGAAAGACTGTAAACAATGGTAGCAGGGATAACAATCATTTGCATCTTGGAAGCAGTCACATAATATAAAATCTTTGTTGTCACGACAGGTGCTGTCCATTATTGGCAGTAGTGTCTGTGTAAAGCAGAGCTAACCTTCAGAGGTGTCTGATCTGTATGTGACTGTCAGCTGAATCTCTCTATACTTTATATTGTACCCAGTAGTGGAAAGTACAACTTTGAGGTACTTCTGTATTTACATTTTATGCTATATTTCCTTATTTTACTACATTATTTGACAACTGTAGTTACAAGTTACATTGCAGATAAGATAATTGAATACAAAGCATTATTAAAAGTTAAAAGAGTCGTGGCTTGTAAATCCTTAACGATTAAAGCTCCCTTCATGTATATGGGTTGTTAGCAATGCCACTACAGAGACATTTCCCCTCTCAGATTGTTTTATTATAATAACTGTTTGTAGTCCAAAAAAGTAAAAATGGATCTATTATCTCACAAAAAATCAAAATTGGAAAAAAGTCTGAAAAAATTAAGATAATTTCTTCTATCAGAACTTTATTTTTTCTTCTCTCCCATTATTCTTATGACCATTCATGTTTATCTTGTGACCCTTTTAAGGGGCCCAAACCCTAGACTGGGAACCACTGGACTGAACTCCCGAACTGTATATAAAGTATTTAAAACTAGCTCCACCTCCAGCAGCTACAACAGTAATAATATATCAGTCACAGGCCATTTTACTTTTGATACTTCAAGTACTTTTGAGTGATAATACTGAATTCAGGTGGACCTTTTTCTTGTAATGCAGTATTTCTACATTTTAGTGTTGGTACTTTTATCAAAGCAAAGGATTCAAGTTCTTCATCCACCAAGTCCATCCTAGACAGCAAATAGGTAACAAAAACTATTTTCTTTTCCTGTTTTTAAAGATTTTCTCTATACTGAGCTTTAACTGATTTTAACTCATGACTTTACTCTGTTCCTTGCTGCAAAAGTACATTATTCATCACAGTTTACGGTGGTCAGGGTCGTCTCATGGTGAGGTCAGCTCAGAATGTGTTTTAGCTGATAGAAAAGAGTAAAATGAGGACAAAACTCAACTTATCTGCTGATTATGATGAAAATCAGTAAAAAGGAATACCTAAGACTAAAATATATTAAAAAGTTTAGAGCACTTTCACTGAAATCTGATTTTCAGCTTTACAAAATGTATTCAGAATAAATATTGCAATATGATTGTTATAGCAATAAAAGCCAGCTCAGTGTTGGAGTCACATTGGGTCACATAATGCTGCAAATTCCAGCTGGAGTGTGTAGCTGAGTCAGCAGGTGGCTCGTCTTACCGCAGTCTGCAGGGGGGAATGCAATATCACTTTCCACGGTAATGCATTATTTATTCTATGGGGCAGCTGAGAAACACAGGGTGGCTCATTTCAAGTCGCAAGTATGTCATTTTGTAGCTCACCATGCAATTTTAACTACACCCTGTGTTTAAAATGTTTATGAAGTGGACAGCCAAGTGAAAAGAGGTTCTCTGTGAATCTGTGTCAAAAACACTAAGAATGAGCCTCTCTGTGGGTAAATATTCTTGAGCACCTTAAATTATGGTCCCACTGATGACGGTACTGTACTCTACACAAGAAATTACAGTTTTTGGAACTGCCATTAGTGAATCATTGGTGAAATTGTTTTACCCAAATAATCAGGTGCATGACAGTATCACATACTAACAAAACCCCAATCCTCTCCTTTCCTCTTGGTCACAGTGTCATTTTTAAACCATTGAATAACAAAATTTAGATTGCTAATCTTATTCCAGGTGGTCCGCACATTTACATGAATTGAGAGAAGAAATATGATGTAGTCCTGTAACAAACACTACAATTTGTGAAAAACAGAATACTAAAATCACCAGTTGAATATACACCTCACTGTCACAGTCACAACACGGTAATGCTGTAATGTGTTTGTTACAATTTTATGCTATAGCTTTATATTTTATAGGTGTTCATGTTATTGTGTCCACTCCAGTAGAAACCAGAGAACAGAGATTGTAACTGATAGAGTCACTTTACACTTTAATTTATCTCCAAGTTGCCATATAAATAAATCATTCAAAGTGCTGTCACACAAAGCCTCATACTAGCAAAGAACATTGTAGTTGTGGTTTTATTGTTTCTATCTTGAAAATAACAAAAAATGCTTATTATGACAACGACGATGACGATGATGATGGTGATGATGATGATGATGATGATGAATATGATGTTCTGTGTTTTTTTTTTGTTTTTTTTGTTTTTTTTTGTTTTCTTTTAAACTTTATTTTTTCTTTAATCAATCAATAACAAACAGGTACAAAAATACAAAAACACAAGGGGGGTTAAACACTACTTTGTCACATACAGGTGCCATTTTGTCCATCTTACAGTACATAGCTCCGTTTTAATTCGTAGACTATAGGTCATTTGTTCCATTGATCCAATTTCTTCTACGATGTTCTGTGTTTTTAAGATTCGATTCTGCTGGATCATGGCTGGCAAGCAAGGGAGGCAGTGGAGGTCCATGTGCAAAGGCCTGGTCCTAGGCACCCTCCTGACCAGCTGTATGATCCTGCTTTACTGCCTCTCCACTCCTCAGATGCACATCAGTCTGCCTGAGTAAGACTCATCACACTGGTGTACATGTGTTCTGTAGGAAATATAATGTAAAATATGCAGTATATTAAATTACTGTATTTAAGAGCTGAAACTAATATTTAATTGACAGAAAAATTATAATTTAAGTAATTTTTCAGGCAAAAATGTCAAATATTTTTGTGGTTACAGCTTCTTAAATGTGCTGTTTTTCTGAGACTTCATCAGTATTATCAGCACATTTATTATTTGATTGTTTTTCCTCTCTGTAGGGTTCCAGTGCCTTACTCATGTGCCCACCGTCCATCCCAGCTCCACCCTAAACCAACCACAAACAGCTCACAACAAACCACTGGCCAGACCTGCACTCCTAAAGTGGATATCATGTTCATGAAGACCCACAAAACAGCTAGCAGCACTTTCCTCAACATCCTTTTCCGCTTTGGAGAGAAGCACCGGCTCAAATTTGCCTTCCCTGACAGCAGGAATGACTTCTTCTACCCATCTCTTTTCCAGCGCTCCCAGGTCAAAGACTACAGACCTGGAATGTGCTTCAATGTTATCTGTAATCACTTGCGCTTCAATGCACCTGAGGTGGCCAAGCTGCTACCTATGGACACTTCCTATATCACTATTCTGCGAGACCCCGCAGAGCTTTTTGAGTCTTCCTTCCACTACTTTGGCCGGCTGGTGCCTTTGACCTGGAAGATACCAGGTGATGACAAGCTGACTGAGTTTCTACGTGACCCCCATTGCTACTTTGATCCAGAGGGCTTCAACTCTTTCTACCTCAAGAATCTGCTGTTCTTCGACTTTGGACAGGACAACACTCTGGAGCTGGATGATCCGCGGGTGGAAGAGGGAATCAAATTCATCACTGACCGTTTTCAGCTGGTCATGTTGGTGGAATACTTTGAGGAATCACTCATTCTGCTCAAGGATGCCCTCTGCTGGGAGATGGACGACTTGCTCTTCTTCAAGCTCAACGCCCGTAAGGGATCCACTGTGTCTAAACTGACCCCTGAGCTAAGGGTTAGGGCTCTTGAGTGGAACGCTATTGACTGGAAGCTATACCAGCATTTCAACCAGACTTTTTGGAGGAAAGTAAATGCATACGGACATGGGCGGATGGCTAAGGATGTGGCAGAGCTCAGGAGAAGAAACGCGGAGATGGCCTCCATCTGCATTGAGGGTGGTCGTGCTGTAGAAGCTGGCAGAATCCAAGAGACAGCCATGCAGCCCTGGCAGCCCATTGGAGAGAAGTCCATCATGGGCTATAACCTGAATAAGAATGTGGACAAGGCGCATCGCAAGTTGTGCCGTAAGATGTTGATGCCAGAGCTTCAGTACTTAACAGAGCTTGGGGTGAACCTGTGGATCACCAAGCTGTGGGGCCATGTCCGAGATATCATTAACTGGTGACTAGGCACGTGAGCAAGAGGGGCCAATTCAACTCTGACAGACTGTATTAAAAGAAGTCTGACTGTGTGGCTGACACATTTCAATCTTATGACTTGCCTCATTTTATTGAAATGTTTCCACATTGACTTGTTTGCACTGTAATGTATTTGATGGGTGCTTAAGAAAAAAAAAGACATTGTAGACTTCACAATCTACAAATACTGAACCAGTCTACTACTGGCAGATGAGGCTTAGTATTGTTCTCTATGTTTATGAGTCCGTTTTCAAACATTTAAATGTTCTTACTCTCAGATGTGAGCTAATGGAGTAGATGAGTGAACGAAGAAGTTCAGGACTAATTGTATAAGCTCTTTAATAGAATAAAAACAAAAATGTTGCCATCCCTGCCAAACTTTGAAGGTTGTTTGATGACATGGAAAAAATGGTACTTTACTTTGAGGACTGTTAACCTCTTCGAGGTCCATCCCCCAAAAGTTGAAACTATGAAACCCAACTAAGCGCTAAAATCCAGATATGAAGGTAGTGAATGTAAGTATTACATCCCACTTTACTGTCTATGGAGGACAAAATCAGCCATTATTTACAACTATTATTTATAACACTACATTACAAACACCGTACATATACACATTCAGATGGTTCTGATGGCAGACATTTTCACTTGTCTTGAGAGCACAGGTGCAACTAATAACATAAATGATCGCTCTGTTCCAGGATCCCAGAACTGCTACATCTAAATCAAATGTAGCACATTTATCTGATTTTCCTGCAGTGACATGTCAAAATGTCTTTCATTAAAATGGCCTGATAACTAATATTAAAATAAAGGGAAAATACAGCACTATGCAATCAAAAAGACAAATAATGTCCTTACTCGTTAACTTTCCTTGTCCGTTTTTATGGCATATGATATATTATATGTTGAGTTTTCTGCAATATGATATTACATTTTTGCTTTTCTTTGGCACTTTGCCGCTGTAGCCAATTTTCCTCTTTCTCCTGATGTCACAATGTTAATCCTTAATAGCATTTGCGGTTTGCCAGGTGTTTTTGGCAGGCACGTTGATGATGTGGTGGTACTTTGTTGCATAGTGAGCCAAAATAAAAAATATTTCATTGTCAGCCAAGTAAGGTAAATCCTATCTAGAAAGGCACTATGACAATGAATAACAGTGTTAAACACCACCTACATGTGTTTACACAGCCTCGTAATCTTAGCCTGCAGCAATAAAGGGAATTAAATAGAGAAATACATTTCCTGTTAATGCACTGTATCTCTCATTTATTTCTTAATTTGTGTTTATTCACCTTATATATTTATTTATTCTATGTATTATTTAATATTTTGTTTATTGTGTCTTGTATGTAATGGATTTAGTTATTGATTAATTTACCTGTAATTTTCTGATTTTGTCCTCCATACACATCCTTATTTTCTGGCAATGTATGATAATCTTTTTATGTGAAAAAATAAATGTAATATTGCATGTATTAAATGTTACGTCTGATTCATGAAACTGACAGCTTCCTCTCTATCTGTGTTTGTTTCATCATAGAAAAAATATCTATATATAATATGATTTTAAATACCACCAAGTCTTGAGTAAACAAGCCAGTGTTGGCAGGAGCCACTGGGAATGAACAAATGTAAGAGGATTGTCCTGTTAAAATTAGTTTAGGATGCAGATAATACCCCAAGTGGCAAAGACGGATTAATGGGTCCCTCAAGGTCCCCGCTGACTGATTAATTAATTACGATTGTAAAAATAAAACATGAAAAAGTCCAAGGAGGGGTGAGTATTTCTATAAAAACTGATGATGATATAAAGTGTTCAAACTTGGACTTTAACTGCAGTTACAGTTTACACTTTTACAATACCGTGCACTTGTCCCTGGATGAAAAACTTGTCATAAGATACAATATAAATTTAAAATGCAGTACCACTTTCTATTAAAACACACTTATGGGCGCCCGGTTAGCTCAGTAGGTAGAGCTGGCGACCCACGTACCAAGGCTGAGTCCTTGCTGCAGCGGCCCAGGGTTCGAGTCCGACCTGCGGCCC